TGGTAGACGCTAATGCACACTGGTACACGCTGGTAGACGCTAGGTCGATATCTTTACTTTCGCTGACGCTGCCGGACGCTCGAAATGCTGTTGGACGCCGGTAGACGCTGGTGGACGCTGCTGCAAGGTATAAACGCAGCCTAATCTTGTTGTGTGGTTTTCTCGCTACAGGCTCTTGCCATCCGATTCGATGAAGGTGAAATGATTGGGGAAAAGGGATGATATGGCAATAGTGCTAATAAGTGAGAACGTGCCCGACAGCAAATGCCCTCTCTTGAACGTGTGCTCATACAAGCTCAATTTTAATGGGGTTCTAATTAGGGTATCTCCGACGGCTTATGCTTCTTCTTTTTCTTCATTGCTGAGTTATTTAGTGTCTTCACAATTATATTCGTCCCCAGTACCCTCGACTTGCAATGACATTCTGGATTTACAGTTGTTTCATGGCTCTCTTGAGCACTCATTCTCGGTGCAGCCCAGATCCGTGAAAATTCGGACTTTGAAGGAATATTTGAGCTGGGATTACCGTGATCCAAACGAATTATTGCACCAGAATTGCACCTTACTGGAGTAGCGCTCGTATCTGGGATCAGATAGTACGTTTTTTGGATAAGTAAGTTTCCAAAAACCTTGGCTTCTGTTTGTGTTAGTTCCATATTTCTGTCGGCTTCTCTGGCAGTCTTCGTCTGCAATTAACGTGATCGTGATCCATTATTATCGTAGCTGAAGGAGTGATTATGGTGCTTACATTGTCGGATTGATTCCCATAAAACCATCCAAAAATACTCCATCCACTCCGGGTTCCTGGTTTATCCAGGGACCTCTGAGGGAGAACCTTCGCTCTCGTTTCTTTTGGCAATTCTTTGCTTTTCGGTTGTGCTCTTGTCTTTTCCCGTTTCACGATGTGGGTCTTCTGAAATGCAGATCTTGCATAAAATCGACTTTAGAAATGTCCGCATTTGATTACTCAGGTAATATTCACTTCGACCGCTCGTGCTTCCCTAGAGGTAACTGCTGCTGAGAGCGCTCCTGTCCTTACTCAATGTACCGGCGTAAACGAGCTGATTACGTAGGTGGGCCCCGAAGCATGAGAGATCGAAGTGAATATTACCACAGTAATCACTAGCACTGGCCTACCAACAATCCAAGGACTGGCCGTAACATTAACAAATTGACAGTCAACAGTCGCATCTACAGGGAGCAGTTTCCATTACAACATTTCTTAAATGAGTGCTGATATAATTTTGACAATGTCGTCTAACCTTGTCGAAATGATGTGTGATCCTCATTTGAGGTTCCTCTTCAGGCGCATCTTGGAAAGGCTCAAACATGCGATTCTCCTGAGGCCAGGGGTTCTCCTGCCCCCACTGCGGTCCATCCCAGCGATTCATTCTGAATAGCACACATGACGTTCGCACATAGATAAC